AGGGTGACCCCCAAAAAACGGGAACTTTTTAACAATCCAATAAAACCAAGAGTGATGGAAGAAAAATATGTTATTCATGGTAATTGAAACCTTAAAACATGCCATTTAAGAAACAATGATGGAATTTTCATTTTTTGAAAATTACGTCCTGTAGATGGCGTCATCCTGTAAGAATGCATTCTTGAAATCTGCTGTTGAGATTGCTCATTAACTGCTGCAACATCTCAGCTGGGAGACTGTTAATTGCATCTTGAATTCTCTGGCAGATCCAGTCTCAAAGTTATTAATCCAACATTTTATCGCGTGTTTTCATGGAACAGCACCATGACGTTCGAAGTTGTAAAAACGTCGGAACTCCCTCTGTGCAGCTGTCAAACTATCACCGTTTTTATAAAACATTTTTATGGCTAACGCACGCTGTTGTCCGTTCCACTGATCTATGGTTACTAAAATGGCGAAATGTTTACTTGTTCAAGGTCAGTCTCGCAGTGTTGCCACTTCAAAGTAATTTGTTGTCTTGGCAAAAACTTTCGTTTATTTAATTTTCATGAAATCCTAATAGTTTTGTCCCTTTTTAATGTCCAGGAATAGAACCGACCCCCAAGAGGATTCTTTCCCGATCACTACAATCTTAACCTGTTCAAGTCTATGGTTAACCGTTATCTTCCCCACATATCCAAATAATTTGTGTCCGTTACTCTGTAACACTCTACCACGAATGGCTCTCGGGTCTGCTACAGGGTGAAAATCACTTTAAAAAATTACTCCTATCAATAATTTCCCCTATCACTACAAAAATTTCCCATATCACTACAATCTTAACCTGTTCAAGTATATAGTTAACCGTTATCTTCTCCACATGTCCGAATAATCTGTGTCTGTTACTCTGTAACCTTCTACCACGAGTGGCTCCCGGGCCTTCTACAAGGTGAAAATTACTGTAAAAAAATATCGTTCGTTCATAATTTTAACATCCTTGTGGAATCGTTTCACCTTGCTTATCCCTAACATCGCCCATATCTATCAGTCAGTTATGTTCCATGCGTGATACACGCTTAGGCGATCATGTATCTGTCGATACATGACTGACGAGGCAGATTTTTTTTCCCGCAGTAGGTACCCATTTCTGTCTGCAGTAGACGAGTTGCCATCTAAGGCTATAGATCCGGTCTGTCCTATTATTTACCCATAGCTGGGTGGGGGAGAAGAAAAGGATTTATACGTTTCGCAAGGGTATTAGCATGTAAGTGAAAGTAATGGATTCGACTGGAATTCAAACTGGTATTCAAAAGCCGCTAGCCATTACTCCACCGTGCCTCCCAAATTCTATCATTGAAGTTTATTTACACTATTTACATTCTTTATTTAATATTTACGTAGATACTATCTTCATCTATTTTTTTGTTATCACAACCCTTGTGCCCTGCGGCCTTCATCAGGTGTGTATCGATATAGTCAGCCTGCAGAGATTTCTGTACTGATCCCTTCATTTGACTCGATGATTCAGGAAGAGGAACCCACTTTTAAAATGATAAAAAAAAATCAATATTTTGGGATTTTGGGATTCTGACAAATGTGGCTTGATAAAAGAGTAATAAATCCTAAATCTTATCTAGAAGAGAAGTTAAATACCCCCCCCCCCCAAAAAAAAAACACACCGTAGAATTCATGTCGGGTGAACGTTGTAATTCATCTGGCAAGGGGTTTTTTTTTCATGACGTGAGCAATTTGGTTTATAATTGAGAATAAAACATCTCAGCCTTTCCCGTCACACGTCAGTGGCGTCCGGGTTTCCGTGTCCAAGTTAAATCTGTGATAAATTGGAGTAAACAAAAACGTCACTTGACGAGGGATAAAATAAAAGAATTTAAGACATTTAAAACGAGGAGTGAGATTAGCATTCATACGAAAAAATATTGCATTTTAGTATTTATTTCCTTTCTTGATGATGGCCTCTTTGTCCTAACGGGTAAATCCTTACACTAAACTAAATGTTATTACGAATAAAACTTTTCATCTATCAACATTGTGTGATGGTAAAGCAAAGAGGGATTCTTTTGTGTATTCTAGGAAATTAGGGAAATCTATCTCAGACATTCGCTTAAGGCTCGTGCAAGTAGGAAAAAAATAAAATGCGATGAAATAAAAGATGTCACTGACGTTAAAAAAAGAAAAGATGATAAAGAGACTTGACAATCTCCTCACAGAGAAGAAGGTTCTACTGACGGTTCTAGACGAGCGTCCTTAGAAACAAAGAAAAAGAGTGTTGGACGGCTATGTAATATCTAATCTCCTATATGGCAGTGAACGCTGGACAATCTCCTCACAGATGAAGAAGAGACTTGAAGCGACAGAGATGTGGTTCTACTAACGAGTGTCCTTAGAAACAAAGAAAAAGAGTGTTGGACGGCTATGTAATATCTAATCTCCTATATGGCAGTGAACGCTGGACAATCTCCTCACAGATGAAGAAGAGACTTGAAGCGACAGAGATGTGGTTCTACTGACGAGTGTCCTTAGAAACAAAGAAAAGAGTGTTGGATGGCTATGTAATATCTAATCTCCTATATGTCAGTGAATGCTGGACAATCTCCTCACAGATGAAACTACAGAGATGTTGTTATACCCCTAAATTCTGGGAATATCATGAATAGATCACATGAAACCGAATGCAGTTCTAAGATGAATATAAACTGTAAAAAACTGCTCCAAACCATTAGAAATGTGGGTGTCGCATAATGAGAAAAGAAGGTTTGGATAATTTAACATTCACAAGGCATAAATAGCAGAAGAAACATCCTACTTAATGTGTCAGAGCAAATGAATAGAGACCACACGTGTATGCCACTGAGTACGGGTCTGAGTACTTAAGGCCAACCAGCTTAGCTCGGTAACCATTTCCTCACGCTGAGGTACCCAAATGTAGTAGTCTCATGTTTACTCAAAAGCTATAGACCGCCTGTCCTTTTACCTCCTCTGACTACATAAAACTGTAATATTAAATGTAAACGGGGGAGATTTATATGCAAAGTTGAGGTCTCTCTACAGGCTAAATGTTCACGAAGATATCACACAAGAGTACTTGTACGGAGCGTAAATCTATAATTTATTGGATTTGTTCATTTATTTTCTTCTGGCCCAGTGTTCAAAGTAAATCAACTAGGGTCATAAGACATTATTATTAATAAAGATTTCTGGTTATTATTTACTCTGCGTTAGTCAGATGGGATATTTAACTCGAAATGTTTAAAGCATTCGTAATCAGCTGAGAAATATGGAAAATTATATTTAATCAAATGTTAAGTCTGTAGATAAGGAACTTGATTCACTATGTCAAGCTAGATATTTTTTTTTCTCGTCAGAATCTATCTTATATATTTATATATTTATCACTTGTCCTTGCTTTGAATCTATCTTGCATATTTATAAGTCTACCATTCAATCATACATTGAATATTGCTGCCACATCTGGTCTAGTGCTTCTGCTATATATTTAGAGATTCTTGATAAAATCCAAAGAAGAATCTATCTTACATATTTATAATTCTACCATTCATCCATACATTGAATATTGCTTCCACACCTGGTCTGGTGCTTCTGCTAAAATTTAGAGATTCTTGATAAAATTTAAAGAAGAATCTATCTTACATATTTATAAGTCTACCATTCATCCATGCATTGAATATTGCTGCCACATCTGGTCTGGTGCTTCTGCTATATATTTAGAGATTCTTGATAAAATCCAAAGAAGAATCTATCTTACATATTTATAAGTCTACCATTCATCCATGCATTGAATATTGCTGCCACTTCTGGTCTAGTGCTTCTGCTATATATTTAGAGATTCTTGATAAAATCCAAAGAAGAATCTATCTTATATATTTATAAGTCTACAATTCATCCATGCATTGAATATTGCTGCCACATCTAGTCTGGTGCTTCTGCTATATATTTAGAGATTCCTGATAAAATCCAAAGAATCTGTAATATCCTTGGCCTTGACCTGGCATCTTGGATTTGGTTTCTTTTCCAACGCCGTCATGTGACCTCCCCTGGTCATTTCCATAAATACTTTCCTGGTAATTGTTCTGATGTACTTTCCTCGATTTCTAAGTATTCATTTGAGTTTCGTCTTTAAATTTCTTCGGGCCCAGTGTTCTCTATTGTTGGCAGCTCAATACTTCCCATTCTGTGCAAATGGACGATGCTATCGACCCGTCGTACCCTTGGCTTTCCCGTTTGTTTTTGTAATGCATGATACTGAAAAATGTAAACTTTACAGGCTTGGAGATATCCACCTGAAAAATGTTTCCAAAGAGACACAGTTTTGTCTTGTTGTTAGTTTGAATGATGTTCTCTTGAAGCCGTTAAAAAATGTCCAGAGCAAAAAAAGAATCGACCGTAGTCGGAATCCTCGAATCAAGACTTTTCTCAGCTGCATAGTATGTGCTTCGCCAGGTCTACTTACGGATTTGAATTAAGAATTTTCCATCTCCTGGATCGGTTGCTATCCAAGACTATAGAAAATAGCCTCTCCTACTATTTAACCATAGCTGAGGGAGAAAAGTTGGATTCATATCTTTCGCAAGGCAATTAGTACGTAAGTCGTTCTAATGAACTCGACTGGAATTTGAACTCGGCTCAATCCGAATTGCAATGTATTAATTTACAAAGCGATGAAAAAGACCAGGCTGTCAAATCCAAAAGGCCCGAAAGACGAGTAGCACAGAAATCACGAATCCAGTCTGTCAAATCAAAAAGGCAGGAAAGACGCGTAGCGCAGAAATCACGAATCCAGTCTGTCCAATCCAAAAGGCAGGAAAGACCCGTGCGCAGAAATCACTAATCCAGTTTGTCAAATCCAAAAGGCAGGAAAGAAGAGTAGCACAAAATTCACGAATCCCGTTTGTCAAATCTAAAAGGCAGTAATGACGAGTAGCACAGAAATCTCGAATCTAGTCTGTCAAATCCAAAAGGAAAGAAAGAGGCGTAGCACAGAAATGACGAATACAGTCTGTCAAATCCAAAAGGCAGGAAAGACGAGTAGCACAGAAATGACGAATCCACTCTGTCCAATCCAAAAGGCAGGAAAGACGAGCAGCACAGAAATCACGAATCCAGTCTGTCAAATCCAAACGGAAGGAAAGACGAGCAGCACAGAAATCACGAATCCAGTCTGTCAAATCCAAAAGGCAGGAAAGAGGAGTAGCACAGAAATCACGAATCCAGTCTGTCAAATCCAAAAGGCAGGAAAGACGAGCAGCACAGAAATCACGAATCCAGTCTGTCAAATCCAAACGGAAGGAAAGACGAGCAGCACAGAAATCACGAATCCAGTCTGTCAAATCCAAAAGGCAGGAAAGACGAGCAGCACAGAAATCACGAATCCAGTCTGTCAAATCCAAAAGGCAGGAAAGACGAGCAGCACAGAAATCACGAATCCAGTCTGTCAAATCCAAACGGAAGGAAAGACGAGCAGCACAGAAATCACGAATCCAGTCTGTCAAATTCAAAAGGCAGGAAAGATGAAAGCAGCACAGAAATCACGAATCCAGTCTGTCAAATCCAAAAGGCAAAAGACGAGTAGCACAAAATCACGAATCCAGTCTGTCAAATCCAAAAGGCAGGAAAGACGAGCAGCACAGAAATCACGAATCCAGTCTGTCAAATCCAAAAGGCAGGAAAGACGAGTAGCACAGAAATCACGAATCCAGTCTGTCAAATCCAAAAGGCAGGAAAGACGAGCAGCACAGAAATCACGAATCCAGTCTGTCAAATCCAAAAAGGCAGGAAAGACGCGTAGCACAGAAATGACGAATCCAGTCCGTCAAATCCAAAAGGCAGGAAAGACAGTAGCACAGAAATCACGAATCCAGTCTGTCAAATCCAAAAGGCAGGAAAGACGAGCAGCACAGAAATCACGAATCCAGTCTGTCAAATCCAAAAGGCAGGAAAGACGAGTAGCACAGAAATCACGAATCCAGTCTGTCAAATCCAAAAGGAAAGACGAAAGAGGAATCGTCTGTCAAAGAAATGACGAATCCAGTCTGTCAAATCCAAAAAGCAGGAAAGACGAGCAGAAATCACGAATCCAGTCTGTCAAATCCAAAGGCAGGAAAGACGAGCAGCACAGAAATCACGAATCCAGTCTGTCAAATCCAAAAGGCAGGAAAGAAAGACAGGTCACAGAAATCACGAATCCAGTCTGTCAAATTCAAAAGGCAGGAAAGACGAGCAGCACAGAAATCACGAATCCAGTCTGTCAAATCCAAACGGAAGGAAAGACGAGCACACAGAAATGACGAATCCAGTCTGTCAAATCCAAAAGGCAGGAAAGACGAGTAGCACAGAAATCACGAATCCAGTCTGTCAAATCCAAAAGGCAGGAAAGACGAGCAGCATAGAAATCACGAATCCAGTCTGTCAAATCCAAAAGGCAGGAAAGACGAGCAACAGAAATCACGAATCCAGTCTGTCAAATCCAAAAGGCAGGAAAGACGAGCAGCACAGAAATCACGAATCCAGTCTGTCAAATCCAAAAGGAAGGAAAGACGAGCAGCACAGAAATCACGAATCCAGTCTGTCAAATCCAAAAGGCAGGAAAGACGAGCAGCACAGAAATCACGAATCCAGTCTGTCAAATCCAAAAGGCAGGAAAGACGAGCAGCACAGAAATCACGAACAGTCTGTCAAATCCAAACGGAAGGAAAGCAGCACAGACAGTCAAAACAGAAATCACGAATCCAGTCAAATCCAAAAGGCAGGAAAGACGAGCAGCACAGAAATCACGAATCCAGTCTGTCAAATCCAAACGGAAGGAAAGACGAGCAGCACAGAAATCACGAATCCAGTCTGTCAAATCCAAACGGAAGGAAAGACGAGCAGCACAGAAATCACGAATCCAGTCTGTCAAATCCAAAAGGCAGGAAAGACGAGCAGCAATGACGAATCCAGTCAAAAATCAGAATCCAGAATCAGTCTGTCAAATCAAAAGGCAGGAAAGACGAGTAGAAAAGAAATCACGAATCCAGTCTGTCAAATCCAAAAAGGCAGGAAAGACGAGCAGCACAGAAATCACGAATCCAGTCTGTCAAATCCAAAAGGCAGGAAAGACGAGTAGCACAGAAATCACGAATCCAGTCTGTCAAATCCAAAAGGCAGGAAAGACGAGCAGCACAGAAATCACGAATTCAGTCTGTCAAATCAAAAGGCAGGAAAGACGAGCAGCACAGAAAATCACGAATCCAGTCTGTCAAATCCAAAACGGAAGGAAAGACGAGCAGCACAGAAATCACGAATCCAGTCTGTCAAATCCAAAGGCAGGAAAGACGAGCAGCACAGAAATCACGAATCCAGTCTGTCAAATCCAAAAGGAAGGAAAGACGAGCAGCACAGAAATCACGAATCCAGTCTGTCAAATCCAAAATGAAAGGAAAGAGGCGTAGCACAGAAATGAGGAATCCAGTCTGTCAAATCCAAAAGGCAGGAAAGACGAGTAGCACAGAAATCACGAATCCAGTCTGTCAAATCCAAAAGGCAGGAAAGAGGCACAGAAAAATCACGAATCCAGTCTGTCAAATTCAAAAGAAAAAACGAGTAGCACAGAAATCACGAATCCAGTCTGTCAAATCCAAAAGGAAAGAAAGACAGGTAGCACAGAAATGACGAATCCAGTCTGTCAAATCCAAAAGCAGGAAAGACGAGTAGCACAGAAATCACGAATCCAGTCTGTCAAATCCAAAAGGCAGGAAAGACGAGCAGCACAGAAATCACGAATCCAGTCTGTCAAATCAAACGAGGAAAAGACGAGCAGCACAGAAATCACGAATCCAGTCTGTCAAATCCAAAAGGCAGGAAAGACGAGCAGCACAGAAATCACGAATCCAAAATCCAAACGAAGGAAAAGACGAGCAGTCTGTCAAATCCAAAAGGAAGGAAAGACGAGCAGCACAGAAATCACGAATCCAGTCTGTCAAATTCAAAAGGCAGGAAAGACGAGCAGCACAGAAATCACGAATCCAGTCTGTCAAATCCAAAAAGGAAGGAAAGACGAGCAGCACAGAAATGACGAATCCAGTCTGTCAAATCCAAAAGGAAAGAAAGAAAGCGTAGACAGAAATGACGAATCCAGTCTGTCAAATCCAAAAGGCAGGAAAGACGAGTAGCACAGAAATCACAATCCAGTCTGTCAAATCCAAAAGGCAGGAAAGACGCAGCACAGAAATCACGAATCCAGTCTGTCAAATCCAAAAGGCAGGAAAGACGAGCAGCACAGAAATCACGAATCCAGTCTGTCAAATCCAAAAGGCAGGAAAGACGAGCAGCACAGAAATCACGAATCCAGTCTGTCAAATTCAAAAGGCAAAAGACGAGCAGGAAATCACGAATCCAGTCTGTCAAATTCAAAAGGCAGGAAAGACGAGCAGAAAAATCACGAATCCAGTCTGTCAAATCCAAAAGGAAGGAAAGACGAGCAGCACAGAAATCACGAATCCAGTCTGTCAAAGAAAGAAAGAGGTATAGCACAGAAATCACGAATCCAGTCTGTCAAATCCAAAAGGCAGGAAAGACGAGTAGCACAGAAATCACGAATCCAGTCTGTCAAATCCAAAAGACGAGCAGCACAGAAATCACGAATCCAGTCTGAAATTCCAAAGAGACGAGCACAGAAATCACGAATCCAGTCTGTCAAATCCAAAAGGAAGGAAAAGACAAGCACAGAAATCACGAATCCAGTCTGTCAAATCCAAAAGGAAAAAAAAGACGAGCAGCACAGAAATGACGAATCCAGTCTGTCAAATCCAAAAGGCAGGAAAGACGAGTAGCACAGAAATCACGAATCCAGTCTGTCAAATCCAAAAGGCAGGAAAGACGAGCAGCAGAAATCACGAATCCAGTCTGTCAAATCAAAAGGCAGGAAAGAAGACAGAAATCACGAATCCAGTCTGTCAAATCCAAACGGAAAAAGACACGAATCCAGAATCCAGTCAAATCAAATTCAAAAGGCAGGAAAGACGAGCAGCACAAAATCACGAATCCAGTCTGTTAAATCACACAGAAATCACGAATCCAGTCTGTCAAATCCAAACGGAAGGAAAGACGAGCAGCACAGAAATCACGAATCCAGTCTGAAATCCAAACGGAAGGAAAGACGAGCACGAAAATCCAATCCAGTCTGTCAAATTCAAAAGGCAGGAAAGACGAGCAGCACAGAAATCACGAATCCAGTCTGTCAAATCCAAAATGCAGGAAAGACGAGCAGCACAGAAATCACGAATCCAGTCTGTCAAATCCAAACGGAAGGAAAGACGAGCAGCACAGAAATCACGAATCCAGTCTGTCGAATCCAAAAGGAAAGAAAGAGGCGTAGCACAGAAATGACGAATCCAGTCTGTCAAATCCAAAAGGCAGGAAAGACGAGTAGCACAGAAATCACGAATCCAGTCTGTCAAATTCAAAAGGCAGGAAAGACGAGCAGCACAGAAATCACGAATCCATTCTGTCAAATCAAAAGGCAGGAAAGACGAGCAGCACAGAAATCACGAATCCAGTCGTCAAATCCAAACGGAAGAAAGACGAGCGACAGAAATCACGAATCCAGTCTGTCAAATCAAAAGGAAAGAAAGAGGCGTAGCACAGAAATGACGAATCCAGTCTGTCAAATCCAAAAGGCAGGAAAGACGAGCAGCACAGAAATCACGAATCCAGTCTGTCAAATCCAAAAGGCAGGAAAGACGAGCAGCACAGAAATCAAATCAAAAAAAAAAGACGAGCAGCACAGAAATCACGAATCCAGTCTGTCAAATCCAAACGGAAGGAAAGACGAGCAGCACAGAAATCACGAATCCAGTCTGTCAAATTCAAAAGGCAGGAAAGACGAGCAGCACAGAAATCACGAATCCAGTCTGTCAAATTCAAAAGGCAGGAAAGACGAGCAGCACAGAAATCACGAATCCAGTCTGTCAAATCCAAAAGGAAGGAAAGACGAGCATACAGAAATCACGAATCCAGTCTGTCAAATCCAAAAGGAAGGAAAGACGAGCAGCACAGAAATCACGAATCCAGTCTGTCAAATCAAAAGGGCAGGAAAGACGAGCAGCACAGAAATCCAGTCTGTCAAATCCAAAAGACAGCACGAATCCAGAAAGACGAGCAGCACAGAAATCACGAATCCAGTCTGTCAAATCAAAGAAATGACAATCAGTCTGGAAATCCAAAAGGCAGGAAAGACGAGCACAGAAATCACGAATCCAGTCTGTCAAATTCAAAGGCAGGAAAGACGAGCAGCACAGAAATCACGAATCCATTCTGTCAAATCCAAAAGGCAGGAAAGACGAGCAGCACAGAAATCACGAATCCAGTCTGTCAAATCAAACGGAAAAAGACGAGCAGAATCACAATCAGTCTGTCAAATTCAAAAAGGCAGGAAAGACGAGCAGCACAGAAATCACGAATCCAGTCTGTCAAATTCAAAAGGCAGGAAAGACGAGCAGCACAGAAATCACGAATCCAGTCTGTCAAATCCAAACGGAAGGAAAGACGAGCAGCACAGAAATCACGAATCCAGTCTGTCAAATCCAAAAGGAAAGAAAGAGGCGTAGCACAGAAATGACGAATCCAGTCTGTCAAATCCAAAAGGCAGGAAAGACGAGTAGCACAGAAATCACGAATCCAGTCTGTCAAATCCAAAAGGCAGGAAAGACGAGCAGCACAGAAATCACGAATCCAGTCTGTCAAATCCAAACGGCAGGAAAGACGAGCAGCACAGAAATCACGAATCCAGTCTGTCAAATCAAAAGGAAAGAAAGAGGCGTCACAGAAATGACGAATCCAGTCTGTCAAATCCAAAAGGCAGGAAAGACGAGTAAAGAAATCACGAATCCAGTCTGTCAAATCCAAACGGAAGGAAAGACGAAGCACAGAAATCACGAATCCAGTCTGTCAAATTCAAAAGGCAGGAAAGACGAGCAGCACAGAAATCACGAATCCAGTCTGTCAAATCCAAACGGAAGGAAAGACGAGCAGCAGAAATCACAATCCAGAATCCAAAATGAAAAGAAAGAGGCGTACGAATCCAGTCTGTCAAATCCAAAAGGCAGGAAAGACGAGTAGCACAGAAATCACGAATCCAGTCTGTCAAATCCAAAAGGCAGGAAAGACGAGCAGCACAGAAATCACGAATCCAGTCTGTCAAATCCAAAAGGCAGGAAAAGACGAGCAACAGAAATCACGAATCCAGTCTGTCAAATCCAAACGGAAGGAAAGACGAGCAGCACAGAAATCACGAATCCAGTCTGTCAAATTCAAAAAGGCAGGAAAGACGAGCAGCACAGAAATCACGAATCCAGTCTGTCAAATCCAAAAAGGCAGGAAAGACGAGCAACAGAAATCACGAATCCAGTCTGTCAAATCCAAAAGGCAGGAAAGACCATCAACACAGAAATCACGAATCAGTCTGTCAAATCCAAACGGAAGGAAAGACGAGCAGCACAGAAATCACGAATCCAGTCTGTCAAATTCAAAAGGCAGGAAAGACGAGCAGCACAGAAATCACGAATCCAGTCTGTCAAATTCAAAAGGCAGGAAAGACGAGCAGCACAGAAATCACGAATCCAGGCTGTCAAATTCAAAAGGCGGGAAAGACAGCACAGAAATCACGAATCCAGTCTGTCAAATCCAAACGGAAGGAAAGACGAGCAGCACAGAAATCACGAATCCAGTCTGTCAAATCCAAAAGGAAAGAAAGAGGCGTAGCACAGAAATGACGAATCCAGTCTGTCAAATCCAAAAGGCAGGAAAGACGAGTAGCACAGAAATCACGAATCCAGTCTGTCAAATCCAAAAGGCAGGAAAGACGAGCAGCACAGAAATCACGAATCCAGTCTGTCAAATCCAAAATGAATGAAAGAGGCGTAGCACAGAAATCACGAATCCAGTCTGTCAAATCCAAAAGGCAGGAAAGACGAGTAGCACAGAAATCACGAATCCAGTCTGTCAAATCCAAAAGGAAGGAAAGACGAGCAGCACAGAAATCACGAATCCAGTCTGTCAAATCCAAAAGGCAGGAAAGACGAGCAGCACAGAAATCACGAATCCAGTCTGTCAAATCCAAAAAAGGCAGGCAGACGAAAAATCACGAATCCAGTCTGTCAAATCAAAAGGCAGGAAATCGAGCACGAATCCAGTCTGTCCAATCCAAAAGGCAGGAAAGACGAGCAGCACAGAAATCACGAATCCAGTCTGTCAAATCCAAAAGGCAGGAAAGACGAGCAGCACAGAAATGACGAATCCAGTCTGTCAAATCCAAAAGGCAGGAAAGACGAGTAGCACAGAAATCACGAATCCAGTCTGTCAAATCCAAACGGAAGGAAAGACGAGCAGCACAGAATTCACGAATCCAGTCTGTCAAATCTAAAATGCAGTAATGATGAGTAGCACATAAATCACGAATCCAGTCTCTCAATTGTAAAAGGGAGGAAAAACGAGTAGTATAGAAATCACCAATCACTCATCCAACGTCAAAATATAATAGTGTAAAAAAATCCAACTCGCATATTCTCACATAGCGAATTCACTCTCGCCTACTAACTAAAAAAAAAAAGCTCTCCCCCTCAAGAAAAGTAACGGCTTTTATTGAGGAGGTAAATTTTAAGACTGTTCGCTATAATTGGGGGAGGATAAAAAATTACCATATGTGAGGCAGTAATTATCTAGGATTTATCTTTCTGCAAATTGTGCCCAGGACACAAACTCTTTTTTTTTTGTTGGGCTGGGGGTTAGGTACGTTTCCCGTTAACAAAATCCCTTTCATTCAAACTGTGTCACCGATTTCATTATTTCGCATCCGATTGAACCATCTGACATTGGGGATACGGCTGTAATAGAACATTCAAATGCGGCAAGGCGCTGCACAGCGGCCTTCTGATGAAACCAAACGAATTTCTTTTTTCTTCGTTGTTATACTGTATTAACCCTTTGAGTCCTCACCAATATTTTACCGGTAGTAGAGAAAAATGACCTAATGCCCTGAACAGTGGGTAAAAAATTGCGTCGTGTTTTGCTATTGGTTGTCTTATTTTTAAGAGCCAATCAAAAAGGCCGTAATATGTTGATGTTATCGAAGGTTATACCAACATGTCCGCAATTTTTCATTGAGTTTTGTGCATGTGTTTTGGGTAAAAAAAGATCGTTTTTACCATGAAACATGCAAAGTGTCAACCTGGACTGTCAGGGGAAGTAATCAGAAAGTTACATTTTTTGTAACAAATTTTATATTTATCGTGAAAAATTACATACGAATTATTTATGAATTTTGGCTCGGGAGCTCAGCCAGAAGGGTTAAAATTGTTTAGGAACGCAGGGCCCAAAGGTTTAATATATATGTTATATTGAATAGCTCTTAAGGGTCATGCCATATAGAAGACGGGATTGGTGGCGAGCTCTCATCATGTTACATTTGAAATGTCTAGATGTAACCGTAATTTCTATGCTAACCGTTTCATCTCTCGCACTTCTCGAGTGTAGAATTCTCTTACGGTTTCTTGTTTTCTAGCCAAATTTAATCTTCAACGATGTAAATGCAATATCAATCGATATCTTATCTGTCTTATAAATTCCTGTTCTTTATTCGTCTATCCCCTTAACCCTTTGAACCATGATCACAGCTTTACCGGTGGTAGAGAAAAATGACCTAATGCCCAACCACCGGTTGAACAGTGGTAGAGAAAAATGACTTAATGCCCAGCCACCGGTTGAACGGTGGTAGAGAAAAATGACTTAATGCCCAGGCACCGGTTGAACGGTGGGTGGGTAAACACTTGTAACTATTTTTAATATCTACCGTGAAACATTCCATACCAATTATTTGCGAATTTTGACTCAGGAGCTCAGGTAGAAGGGTTAAAATTGTTCAGGTACGCAAGGCTCAAAGGGTTAATCCAAAGAGAGCTCGATGTAAATTATTGAGAGATTAATATAGCAATATTCATTATATACATATAATGTATGCATGTATCTATCTCTATCTATAAAAGGCAGGATGTGTGTGTGTGTAACAAATGCACGGTCGCAATTTTCGACGGATTTGCACCAAAATTTACATGCACATGCTCCAAGTTAGCGGGAAGGCCAAGACCGACTTTGCATTTCCCAACTCCCATCGATAGTGGAAATAATCGATTTTTTCATGCTTCTACGGCAGTTTTCATGTAGTTTGCGGCCATTTTCTACTGGCCAGAGTGAGAGCATATAGCTGGCTGCCACGAATAGGCAGGAAGATTCTATTGGCCAGCGTGAGAGCCAACAGCTGACTGACACGAATGTTAACTAGCATGCAAAAAAAAATCGATAGCTGCATTCGTCACAAGTGGGAAAAATTTAAATCTGCATGGCACTTTACTCCAATTGGCTCATTCACTTGCTTAAACTCAACGTTGATTCTGATTCCGCAGAACTGGGTTCGGTGTGAAAAAGTATTTGTTGTTAACATTCTTTTTTCATTTAGTTTTTCCAGTTACGAGTCCTTTTTTAAAGCTGATCGTTTTGTGTTCATTTTGTTTAGTTCTTTTTTCGTAACAGATTTAATGTTTAGTATAGAGCTTAGAAAAAAATCGCAGTGTGAGATAGGCAAAAAGTAAGGCATGTAGCAACATCAGCAAGGTGAAGGCCACTCCTTTAAAGGCAAGGAAGGGCAAAAATATTTTAAGTCAAGTGATAGCAATTGCTGTATGAGTTGTACGATTTTTGAATTAAGCACGGGCAACGCCGGGCCATGCTGCTAGTGTATATATATATATATATATATATAATAGCAATTTGTGACTAGTAAGGATAGTTCCAAGGAGGATATTAACCCTTTTATCCCTGATAAGCGCTTTACCGGTTGTAAAGAAAAATGACTTAATGCCCAGCCACCTGTTAAAACGTGGGTAAACACTTGTAACTATTCTTATATTTCCCGTGAAACATTATATACCAATTGTTTGCGAGTTTTGACTCAGGAGCTCAGGAAGAATACTTGAAATTGTTCAGGAACGAAGGGCTCAAAGGTTTAAATACGTTGGTCAAAATTAATAATGAAAATGTGTTATATAAGAAACTGGCACAGCTTAAAAGGCTATTTATACAGGTGCTTTGTTCATATGATGAAAAAATCAGGTTTTTTCTTATCTGTTTCTTTCTTGCCACGGTGGGAAACGAAAACTGATCTTGTGTTTCACAGCCGGTGGAAATGCTAAAAATAGTGTTTTAATTACACCTGAGATATCCGAAGGAAGACATTGCCATAAACGATCTTCAATAGAGAAGGAAATAAAAATAATAATAATAAAGTTTGGTTTCCGACTTGTTCGGCTATTTCATGTCGGGTATTGTATGATGCACCCAGTGAGGACCAATTTCACTACACAGTAGTAATGTTCAACGTTGACTGGAAAGCAAGAATTCGGACGAGAGTTCTAAAAGCGAAAAGTGTTAGGGAAGGAACTGTTTTTACAGGGTCCCGATGAGGATAGAAGTTACTACTCAGTAGTATTATTAGTTGAGTTTGGTTGATTTTTACGACATGCCTTTGCTTGTTGGTTTACTTAAGGTCGAATTGTACATGGGGTTCACAGTAGGGATCGAACTCGCTGCTAAGAGAAGAAAATCGAGAAAAAAAATAAGGAACGTAAGAGAAACAGAGTAGAAATAGAAAACAAAAATGGATTGATGAGAGAGAGAGAGAGAGAGAGAGAGAGAGAGAGAGAGAGAGAGAGAGAGGGAGAAAGGAAAGAAAGAAAGGAGAGATAAGAAAGGGAAAGAGAAATGAATTTCAGAAAGAAAAGACAGAAAGAAAGAAAGGAATGACGATAAGAAAGAAAGAAAGAAAGAAAGGAATGACGATAAGAAAGAAAGACAGAAAGAAAGAAAGGAATGACGATAAGAAAGAAAGACAGAAAGAAAGAAAGGAATGACGATAAGAAAGAAAGACAGAAAGAAAGAAAAGAATGACGATAAGAAAGAAAGAAAGAAAGAAAGAAAGGAATGACGATAAGAAAGAAAGACAGAAAGAAAGAAAGGAATGACGATAAGAAAGAAAGAAAGAAAGAAAGGAATGACGATAAGAAAGAAAGACAGAAAGAAAGGAATGACGATAAGAAAGAAAGACAGAAAGAAAGAAAAGAATGACGATAAGAAAGAAAGACAGAAAGAAAGAAAGGAATGACGATAAGAAAGAAAGACAGACAAAAAGAAAAGAATGACGATAAGAAAGAAAGACAGAAAGAAAGAAAGAATGACGATAAGAAAGAAAGACAGAAAGAAAAAAGAAAAAGAATGAAAGACAGAAAGAAAGAAAAGAATGAAAAGAAAGGAAATAAAGGAATGACGATAAGAAAGAAAGACAGAAAGAAAGAAACGACGATAAGAAAGAAATGAATGAACACAAGAAATAAAGAAAGAAAGAAATGGCGATAAGAAAGAAAGAAAGAAAGGAATGACGATAAGAAAGAAAGACAGAAAGAAAGAAAGAAATGACGATAAGAAAGAAAGAAAGAAAGAAGAAACGATAAGAAAGAAAAAGACAGAAAGAATGAAGATAAGAAAGAAAGACAGAAAGAAAGAAAAGAATGACGATAAGAAAGAAAGACAGAAAGAAAGAAAGGAATGACGATAAGAAAGAAAGACAGACAAAAAGAAAAGAATGACGATAAGAAAGAAAGACAGAAAGAAAGAAAGGAATGACGATAAGAAAGAAAGACAGAAAGAAAGAAATGACGATAAGAAAAGAAATGAAAGAAAGAATGGCGAAATAAAGAAAAGAAAAAAAATGACGATAGAAAGACATAAAGAAAGAAAGACACGAAAGGAAAGACAGAAAAAGAAACGACGATAAGAAAGAAAAATGAACAGAAAGAAAGAAAGAAAGAAATGACGATAAGAAAGAAGAAATAAAAGACAGAAAGAAAGAAAGAAATGAAGATAAGAAAAAAGGAAAGAAAGAAAGAAAGGAATGAAAAGGAGAAAATAAGAAAAAGAGAAAGAAAAAAAAAGAAAAAGAAAGAAAAGAAAAAAGAGAGAAAGAAAGAAAAGAAAAAGAGAGAAAGAAAAGAAAAAAGAGAGAAAGAAAGAACATTTTCTGGAAATTTCGAATTGTAAATTAAATAAAATGGATACCAAATTAATAAAAAAACTAAGTCCACGTGAATTTTGAGGCATAAATTCGCACATAATTTTGTAGGTCAGATTTTTTTAGTTCACAGCTTCTGTTTCGTGTCGACTTCGGTCTAACTGAAAAAATACCTTTTATATACTATATGCTTTGAGGACTTGAGAAATCATGGCTCTCTACAACTTCCTAACTTTTGCTTCTCTTAGTAACTTTTGACTATTTACTACACCTTAACACCTTATTTATTTTAATTAATTTATTATTGT